GTCGTGCTATAAAGAAGAAACTGGAATATACATCCCGGTTGCGGAGGCACGAGTGGCAGACCATTAGCCGGAAAGGAAGTCTTTTAAGAACAAGGAAGAAAGAGAGTACCGAGTGATCCCTTAAAGTTCCAAAAAAGTGCGAGTGAGAAAGTTTCTGGCAGAGACTGTGTTATATTCGTGAACTTCGCGTTCATCGTCAAATAATCACACCGATTATTCACGACCCCACGTTTTAACTTTTTATACACAAGTAACACTAAAAAAAGTACACTGAAAAAATTATTAAATTAATAAATATTTATTTCAATACTGCCTAATAAATCATTTATTTAAAACAAATAAATGTTTATCTTTTGAAAAGAATTTTCTTATATCAAATAAATATTTTTTTACATCAAATCAATATTATTAGTTTCAAATAAAATGATTTATTAGGCAGTATTGAAATAAATATTTATTCGAATTCAATAAATTTTTTTCAGTGTAGTCAACGTTGATCAAATGTTCAATCGACTATAATTGTTAGATGCAACTGGTTAACCAAATTTATTTTCAGAGTATTAATATATCAGCTATATATGAGACAAATAAAATAAAAATGCGTATTTTGGAAAAAATAGAAAAGTTAAATTGTGTTGTACTTTAAAGCATAATAACGAATATAAAATCTAATAAAATAAAAGCATATAATTATATGCAAAAAATAATGTATACTTATATATAAAAGTAATTATATCAGAAGTACTTTTTGCGTACTGTATTTAGAATAAGACAAGTATATATAAAACACTACGTTGTATTGACAGAAATGTCTCGCAATAATGCATAAGTATAGCGGTGAGCATCTAACACCTGTCTTCTCCGCTCCTTCTTCGCCACAAGCGTACAAGAGGAGACGATTAATGCCCCTTAAATTAATTACGATGTTACGTGAAGGAGAGCGGCAAGTAGACCTACAACAACGAGGTAACTCGAGGGATCAACGATCGGTGTATAAATGAGGGGAGACACGGAGGCAGGTTCAAGCACAGAATCGTCGCACGTACATATCTTGGTAATGCGAGATGAAACTGTAACGAGTACGGGCGCGGTAACTAAATATTCGCGGGCAGACGCGTTGAGACAACAACGTTGGTGACAGGAAAAAAGGAGAACTCGACGTGAAACAGGCCGTTCGTTCCATCTACCCTCAACATTTGTCGCCATTCACGTTTGCGCGTACGGAAGAGAGTCGTCGCCGCCACTGGAGACAATTTATTCTCACGGTCTCGCGCGTAATTTGCTTCCGCAACTCCTTCTTCTCCGTAGCTTGTAACAAGGGTAACGAAAATCATCGAATGAGAACCCATCGTCGCGGCCCGAAATCGCATTTCACGCGACATTTGTTGCGCGACGTCATCCTACCTAGCCTGGCGCGTTGATCTTTAAATGCAGTGCAAGGGATGGGAACGCGAGGGATGAAATTTATTTAATTTTTCGCCTTTCGCGCTATCCGATAGCTCGATCCGCGCGCGTGAGCGTCATACTATATTCGTATTTTTCTTCTCAATAAACTATCACGCTGAAGACTTATAACGAAATTGAATGGAGAATTAATTGTGATATGTATACTTAAAGTAATAAATATATATGCAAAACATGTTGTATTTTTAATCTATAAAATGTTTACTCAAGTCGATATTTTAAAGCAGCGCCTCTTTCATTTAACAATTCGTATATTGAATATCTGCTAGATTCTTTAAGAATTGGACATGTTAATTTTTGTCTTAAACTTGTTAATTAATAAATTAATATCTAAAATAAAAACTTATATATAAAACAAAAGAAAACCAAATAACCTTTTCCTTTAAAAAACATTTTTTTTCAAAGAAGTTGACTTAAATTTTTATTTCTTTCAGACTTTATAAAACTTTATACGAAGATTCTCTTTTTTGACGAACTTTTCTATAATTTGTCAAAACTTTTTATAAGAAAACTTATTCTTTTATTTCGAAAGAATTAGACTACATGGGGTATAAATTTTTACATATATAGTTCTGATTGCAGCAATATATAAATACATCTCCACTATCAGCAGACACTTTTGGAAAAAGTCACCGCGAGCAACTACTACCGGTAGCATTCGTCGCATTATTTGTCGTTAAGTGCATGAAAGCTTTTCCTTGAGTGCTTAATACAAGCTCACGGTTAATAGCGGCGCGTTATTATGCTCACAGGGACACAAATGTGTCGCAGAGTTTAAAGTGTCTCTACTTTGGTGTCGCAACCGCAGAAAAATGCGCCAGCCTAACCTTTTATGGATTCTTTGTATTTGTGTGGGTGTATATGGCGGTGCGATTATATCGAGTATCTCTGATTCATTGCTTCTCACACAAATGAATATAGAAGTGTGTTTTTGCGAATATATACAATATCTTTTCAATAATTCCTTAAAGTTATTTAATTATTATATTTATTTATTTTTAGAGATTTCCAAATAATTACAAATTTTGTTATTAATAATATTTTTACTTCAAAGATTCTTAGATCTTTAAATTCTATAATAATATAACATTTATAGATTTAATACTTTGACATTACCAAATTTTGAAATCTCTTTTAATATACTTATCTACTAAAAATAATCTGTAAAATATCTTTATTTGCATATTTATCTACACATGTAAATGTATACTTGATAATTCCCTAACAGCACACATATCCCGAAGACGTTCAGAAAATATCCCGAGAATGTTTGAGTATCCTCTAGATATCTTTTGGATATCCTCTGAACATCTTTCGGATATGTTGTGCTATTAGGGTTGTAAATGTATAATTTTGATCATAATATTTATATATTTTATAAGTATTTAACAATTTAAAAGAATTCAAAATGTTCTGCAGAGATTAAAATCTTGAAATTCAAAGATTTAGAATTTGTAAATAAATTGGAGATTATATAAAATCTTTTTTTCTCTAATTTATTTGTAATCTTCTCTTTTAAATTGTAAATATTTAAATTTCAAAATTTTAGTCTTTGCAAAACATTTTGAATTCTTTTAAATTGCTCAATAAGTACTTATAAAATATATAAATATTATGATCAAAATTATACATTTACAATTATTAAGTATACATTTACATATGTAGATATATATGCAAATAAATATATTTTAAAGATTTTAGTAGATATATTTTAAAGATCTTAAAATTTAATAGTGTCAAGGTATTAAATTTATAAATGCTATTATTTGAGAATTTAAAGATCTAAGAATCTCTTTAAAGTAAAAATATAATTATTAATAATAAAATTTGCATATAAAAATTATAATCTCTAATTTATTTGCAAAAAAATTTAATTTTTTCTGTTAAATTATAAATTTTTGAATTTCAAGATTTTAGTTTCTACAGAACATTTTGAATTCTTTTTAAATTGCTCAATACTTATAAATTTATATATAAATATTATGATCAAAAAATAGATATGTATTTTATATATATATATATTTCTATCAGACATTTTTTTTCATCTATATAATATTTACATATTTATAATATACTGTTTTTGAAGGGTTTTTATTTAATTATTTTTCTAGAGCATGTATACATATATATGTGTGTGTGTGTATATATATATGTGTAAGAAGGCAAAATATATTTATAAATATTTGATCAGAGACACCGTGCATATCAAACACCTCTGTATGGTTATATATGTATATATGCATTCATATTCATGCATCTTATCCTTTTCTCCCGAAAATGTGAAAGGAAATATATAATAATAATATATATATATTTAATATTATATATTCGCACATTTTCAGCTGTGGCAATAACTAAATATGATCCGTAGTTCCTAACTCTCGTATCAATAATAATATTATTGCATAATAATTGTACAAACCTGCTAATTTTATCAAAAGCACAACAATTTTCACAAGAAAAGTTCAGTAAATTATTACTCACTCTGAGCTGCATTCGAAGACTGTACTATACATCCGAAGAAAGCAATTCCAGTTTTCTGAAGACGCTCGTTCTCCCTCTTTCTCACTCTTCTTCTCTGTTTCTCTCTTTCTCTTTTTCTCTCTCTTTTTCTCAGCTGGAAAAAGAATTGTATATATGTTAATTGTGTTTAATTATATATTTAGAATAAGTATATAATAAATACATATAAAATTCATATTTACTCGAGCTTTAACTATAACTTTATTTATACGTAAAATATATCTAAGATAATTACCTAACCGCATCACGAATGCCTATACATTTATAATGGAATATTTCTATTCTTTCTATAAATAACTTCGACTTTTTTTTACGTAAAATAGAGATACTACACGAGCTCTCATTCTGCACAACACGTTCATAACTGCAATCGCGATTTATAAAGAAAAATATACAAAAAGAACGACATACTTCTGCGGCGCGACACTTTATTGCGTTCGAGTGCAAATATCAAATATGGCGTCTTTGCGCGCTAGTTTGCGCGGGCATTTGTGTGCCAATCATAGACATATGTAGCGACATCTTACGGAGTAACCTATTACCTTTATCGACACGAATACACGTTAGATATGCGATAATATTGCGAATATGAATATATCATTTTGCAATGTTTATTAGGTCAAAATATATAAAATAATCAATGAGAATATTTTCTGTATTAGGCGATTAATATTAATGAAGCTACTAATTATAACATGTACATACCTGATGATAATTGTCCATTATATGTTTTGCCTCCCAAGGCATATTGCGTTTTCAATCGATCGCAGGCACACAAATTATCGACATCATAATTATGGTAATTTATTACGACTAATACTTACGCGAAACACTAGGAAAATAATTCTTCACGCTTTTAAATAATAATAGGAGCGAAAAAAAGCAATAAACGAAGCGATTCGAATACGACGATGCGTCTCAACCGGCCATTCGACCACAAGTGACGATTTCGATATATATCGAAATGCAATGCAATATCTATCGAATGACGATTCTCGAAATATCGAAACACTCGAAGCAGCAAGTCAATCACAGTAAATTCTTGAGTCTGTTCCTTTTAGTTGTACTTTCAAGTTACCGATTTTATCTTTCTACGTGCGAAATATTACTAGATTATATGCAGAAGCCATAAGAAAAGGCACATTAGCTTTTAAAATCTTTCATAATCTGAAAGTCAATGGAGCAGAAGCAAACTGTCGTCTGCCGTATAGACATAACCTTGTCAAGTCTTAGAACACGATAGTAAATAATAAACAAGTGTAATAAATTTGTCAACCGGTTGTTTCAAGTAGGTATTTAATTAGCATGCTTGTGATGTATCTTGTATGAAGATGAGCATAATAATTACACGTTTGGTAATTTATAACATCGGATTATCATAAATGTGTCCATGTAGCTACTAATGTTACAATACATGAATTGTTTTATGAATTTAATTTTATAACTTTTTATTAAAGTAATACAATTTTTTTTTATTATAGAATATTTCACGATGTCCGAAAATACAAGTGAAGCAGCTACGGCTGAAAAAGAAGCTACTAGTGAAGAAGATGTTATCTCGGAGGAGGATAGACAATATTTGACAGAATATGTGAGAGAAACAGAACAAAGACTTGCAACAAAGGAAGAGATTCGTGCGTCCAATCTAAATCCTACAAGACCTTCGGATACATCATTCAGTAAACTTGACTCAAGTCTCAAGAGAAATACCACATTTGTCAAGAAATTGAAGAACTTTAGCATGACTCAACTTGATACAGTTTTGAAAGACATGGCAAATTTAAACCTGACCAAATATGTGAGCGAAGTTGCTGCTGCTCTGGTGGATGCCAAATTAAAGATGACCGATGTTGCGCCAGCCATTAGAGTATGCAGTTTTCTCCATCAGACATATGCCGAATTTTCCACTCATTTCTTCGAAAATTGGCAAAGAATATTGTCACTGAAGATCAATGACAAGATCTCGAACCCCAGCAAGTTGAGAGTAGATCTTAGATTCTATGCGGAACTAGTAAATGCTGGAATATTCACACACAAGCAGGGTTTGCCGCTACTAGGCTCAGTATTGACTGTATTGATCAATATGGATAAGGAAGAGCACAATAATGTCAGCATAATATTAAGTTTTTGCCGACATTGTGGCGAGGATTACGCCGGTCTTGTACCAAGAAAGGTGCGAGAACTGTCCGAGAAATTAAATGTTACGATTCCAAAGAGCAAACTTTTATCACCGGACAAACAACAGAATGTTAAATTGTTACTGCGAGACTATTATAATTCTTTATGCAAACACTTGTTGAAGGAGCACAAGGAATTGCAGGCGTTTGAGAAGCAGAATCGCAAAATATTGCAAACTAGAGGTGAACTGAGTTCAGAGAGGAAGGAAAAATTGGAGGCCCTCCAACTCTCTTATGAACGTTTGCTAACCAGTGTACAGAGCTTTTCTGACACTCTGGATGAACAGATGCCTGAACTTCCAGTGGACAATGAAATGAAGACCGAAACGGAAGAAACGTTGAAAATGATTAATGAGGGAGAGGACAATACCATCTTGGAAGATATGTGGGGCGATGAGGAAACGAGACGTTTCTATGAAGTATTGCCAGATTTGACGGTCTTCCTGCCAGGTTCGTATTTGAAGGAGACTCCGAAAGAAGTAACAAAGACAGATGTATCGATAACGGAGGATGCTCTTGACGAAGAGATCGTTTTCGATGAGTTAGAAGATACCGAAAAAATTGAGGAGCCACCGGAACCGGAAGTGGAAGAACCACAAGTATCCAACACAAGCAATAAGATACTACTAGACGCTTTCTTGACTCATCTGCCGAACTGCGTCAATCGCGAGATGATCGACAACGCAGCAGTGAATTTTTTGATGAATCTCAATACAAAGCATAATAAGAAAAAATTAGTAAAGGCTCTTTTCGGTGTTTCTAGGATTCGTCAGGATCTACTACCTTTCTACTCTCGCTTGGCGGCCATTTTGCATCCGGTGATGCCCGAAATCGGCAATGATCTGTGTCAAATGTTAAAGCAAGATTTCAAGTACCACGTCCATAAGAAGGATCAAATCAACATCGAGTCGAAGATCAAGGTGGTACGCTACATCGGCGAGCTCGTCAAATTTAAGCTCTATTCGAAGATAGAGGCTCTCTATTGTTTGAAGGTGTTGCTGCACGATTTCACGCATCATCACATCGAAATGGTCTGCAATTTACTGGAGATCTGCGGTCGATATCTATTTTGTTCGCCGGACTCTCATCAGAGAACCAAGGTGTATCTGGAACAGATGATGCGTAAAAAGGCGGTCACTGCACTTGATTCACGCTTCGTCACGATTATCGAAAACGCGTATTACTTCGTGAATCCACCCGAATCGACTGGCGGTGTCGCGAAGAAGGATAGACCCCCCGTGCACGAATTCATTAGAAAATTACTGTATCAGGATCTCTCCAAGACGAATACTGATAAGGTGCTGAAATGGATGCGGAAACTTGACTGGGAAGACGAGAATGTATCGTCATACGCTATAAAATGCCTCACTGCCGCTTACAACGTTAAGTATCCTAACGTTCGTTGTGTGGGCAGTTTATTAGCCGGCTTGGTGGCCCATTACGAGACCATAGGACCCAAGGTAGTCGACGGTGTACTTGAAGATATACGACTGTGCATGGAAATTAATTTGCCTAAATATAATCAACGACGCATTGCTATGGTAAAATATTTGGGCGAGCTGTACAATTATCGAATGGTAGAAAGTGGCGATATTTTCCGTACTTTATATTTACTGATCAGTTTCGGCGTCAGCATGGATCACTCGTCACCGAGCATACTTGATCCATCCGATCATCTCTTTCGCATCCGTTTAGTGTGTACGTTGTTAGAGACTTGCGGCCAGTACTTCAGCGGTGGATCCAGCAAGAAGAAACTTGACTATTTTCTAGTATTCTTCCAAAATTACTTCTGGTTCAAGTTTACGGATCCCGTTTGGACGTCCGAAAACCCATTCCCCGTCGGGATAGACTACATGTATCGCGATACGTTAACGATGCTACGACCCAAAATGCAATTGTTCCAGAGTTACAAGGAAGTACAATGCGCCATAGAAGAATTGCGAAATATTTTATATCCAAGTTTGAATAATCCACCCGTTGACGACGTCGCTGCAGAAGGCGAGAATGACATGAGCGTTATCTTGGAAGGCGACGAAGAAGCAGCAACTACAACTGGAAATGGTAGCGGAGACGCGAAGGGTTTGGCGGAGCTGCACTTTGAAGAATCCGAAGATTGCTCGGAGGCGCAGTCGGAAGAGGAATGGACGGCTGATGCCGAGCGAGACGACGCTATGGGTACCCAAGAGAACACTCAGGGTGATCGGTCTCAAAGTCTGTCGGCTGAGGGTGGCACCGAGGGCGTAATCATGGACGTGACGGAAGAACTGAATGCCGCTTTGCCAGCCGGACCACGACGTGTGAGCTGTCCGGAGGACGATGACTTTCTGTCCGCGCTGGATAAAATGGTGTCGGATAATATACAGGACCGAATGCGAGATTCGATAAAACCGCAACAGGTCGACATCTCTGTGCCGCTGCATGTAAAGAGCACAAAAAAAACATATGAACAACTACAGGAACGACCAACTGACAACAACACAGTGGACTTTGTGCTGATGTTGAGAAAGGGTAATAAGCAACAGTATAAGAATCTAGCGGTCCCAGTATCGTCAGAGTTGGCTATGAATCTTAGAAATCGTGAACAGGAACAAAAGGAGGAGAAGGAACGTGTGAAAAGACTGACATTGAACATTACCGAGAGACAAGAAGAGGAAGACTATCAAGAGACTATGAATCAAAGCACCAGACCAGTCACCGTGAACTTGAATAGAGAACGGCGACAAAAGTATAATCATCCTAAAGGAGCCCCGGATGCCGATCTCATTTTCGGACCGAAGAAAATTCGATAAATTCAGAGAACTTCAAATTTTCGGACAATCGAACTTTTCATTAAGAAACAGGACATTTGTGAAGTGATTAATTATAATTCGGACCTCTTTAATTAATAGTTATATAGTGTTATCGTTTTTTTACTATAGCACATTAGAATTTCGAGAATGAATGTCGTAAGGCGTTCAGAACACAACAGTTCAGCAACGTTAATAGATTTTATAAATTATATGACGATATAATATAGATTAATCTAGTAACGATGCTTAACTGTTGTGTTCTGAACGCACCCATAGTGTGTTGAATGAATCAGAATTTTGAGTATGAATGTATTATATGTAAAATATATATACATATAAAAACATATGTTACAGTGCATTTAAACGAAGTCATACAAATCATTGGTACAGTAAGTTCTCATTAAATTAACATAAAAACTAATTTTGATAATTTATAAATGTATAAAATATATAGATTAAAATTTATTCTTCCGGCTAAAACATATGTACATGAAAAAAAAACCAATATATGGATTATTACACTACACTGCCGATTTTCGATTACATACATACATAAAGTTTACTGTACCATGTAAATGCACTTTTAATGCAACGAGATGATATATCATTAATAACGTGATAATCTGCGCTATGATGATGTGAAAATATTAGACATTTTTATAAACTTATAATTACTCGTTATTTTATGTCTATCAACGAAAGCTATGTTGTGATAGAATATACGATCAATTTATAAATATTTCTCTATGCTATCTTTCGATTCTCTTTCTACACCTTATTTGGAAAAGCAAAATTTTCTTTTTTCCCTTACAGATAACCTTTCTATTAAAAGAAATCGTGTAAAGAAGTCAAATATTGTGATGTACAATTATTTATTTTTATCTAGGAAATTATCGCCATGTACAAAATGAATATAAATAAATGTTTAGGTGCTTTAACGTTTGATACGGCTCCATAGTAAGTTTTGCAATAACGACGTCACGTATATATCTACCGAAATACATATATGAAATTGATAAACGCGTGTAAATTAACACTAAATGCATGTCTGCATCTAATGATCGCTTTTTAAGGATCTTCTTCCGCGTCTTCGAATTGACCCGCTTCAATATCCATAGCTTCTTCCGCTTCCGCTCCCGTATAATTGGTCCCCATTTGCTCTGTTGAAAAAATCAACCTTATACATATATCATTCAATGCATTAATTCTAACATATTTAAATTTTTAAATTTAATTTTATGAATTTTGTTTTCAATGTTATCACATATAGATAAAAAATTATACATATAATACGATCACATTTAAATATATAATCTAAGCATGCATACATAATTTTCAAAAAATTAAATATAAATTAAAAATATACCTAATATATCAAATATATAATATAAAATATAGCCAAATTAACCTGGCAAAATGCAAGGTGCGTCGCCAGCACCTACTTCCTCGTCATATTCACCTTCATAGTCTTCCTCGGCATCTTCATAAATATCCTCTTTAATTTGAGAAATTATATTATATTAAATTTTTGTTGCGCTATATTTTTACATTGCAAGTAATCGGAAATAAATTGATTATCTTTGTTCGAATGCTTACCGTCTGAGAAGCTATCTTGTGGATCAGGGTGAAGCGCTTGACACGCATTCATTGCTTGAAACATTAATTCTAAATTATTCGTATTATCAGGCGCAAATTGCATTTCCGTAATTGGAGTGTCCGCATCATTCTCATCGTTTTCCGAAGCGTTTTCAGATGATAATGCTAATGGCATATCTGTGCAAATAAAATGTACGAGTACATTAATATTAAATTTATCAATTGTGAAATTTCTTACAGTAAAAGAACTTGTAATAATACCTGGGAGGTCTACTTTGGCATCAACCATAATATATAAACATTGTCGTGGATGGACTTGTTCATCTCGTGCAATAGCGTGTAATGAAATATGAGGATATTCAAGCGAAAATCCCTGTTGTGTGTCATTGTTCATCCAAGAAAGTACGCTACAAATAAAAATATATTAGAGTATATAACATATTGTGCATATATGTAGATAACTTAAAACTGCAAATTGAATAGATTAGCTACCTTTCTGTGACGTAGAATGTACCCTTGCCTACTTCTCTACCATTGATATATACTGTAGTGTTTGGTTCTTCGTGACGTATCCCTTCTTGTGGTGGCAAGAAGCTGCTAAGCACTACCATGTTTTATAATCTGCAAAATATGTAATATTTAACAAAAAATACGAACTGTCACTGATTCGACAAAGAAAGCATATATTATCCATATGATATCAGAGCAGTAATGCGACTCTTATCAGAGTTACACAATGCATTTACATAGACATAAATGGCAATACATAAACGCGATATATACATAGTATTCCGAGCTTGTTAATGTCCCCTGTTAACGTCACCTTAATGCGTGCACGAATACTCCCGACACAGAACACGTTCGGAATTACTCTCGACAGAAAGTGCCTATTATATAAATACCTTATACGCGTGACATTAAGGAGAGAAAGCGAGTTTCGGGTCTCCGTAACTAGTAAACACCGGTGTTGCGCTGCTTGGAGCCTCCTAACCAAATAAACAACACCAAAACAGGGTGGACTCACCGTAATCCCTCAATTACTGGAAAAACCGTGCGTACGAACAGCGACGAGGTTCCTCGCGAGCCACACAGATGCGTATCTCACCGAGAATTCGCGTTACCTGTCGCGGCACGCACTCGTACGCTCGTTTTTACGATCGCGAGCTGTCAAACGAATCCAAACGAACTGTCGGAGGTTGCCTACGTGACGCGAGATGCGGCGTGCGCGCTACGATTTCCTCTGCCCGACTGTCGTTTACTTATTTCTCGTTGTGTGTTGAAAGGATATATATATATACATATATATATGTATACAGTCTTTTAATTACGGTTATAAAAACAATAGTTTACGTGTAGAATATACGCGACGCAGTTTTAATTTAACAACGGTAGCGTAATACCGTTATTGCGTGTCATACATATGTTATATATATATATATATATATATATATATATATATATATATATCGTGTCATATCATAGTGGTGCCGCTCTGCTTTCCATTTAAATAACTATCTTCCAATTAAATAACTCTCTGCGGGAAAAAAAGTATATATTTCAATCATCGAAATAAAAAAGATAAAATGTAGACGAAGAAGAAGAATATATTTCTATTTTTTCTTTCTTTTCAACACAAAAATGTTTTGTAAAAATATTTTATTTTGCACTTTTATGTAAAAAATGTTTATATATAGGTTATGTAGAAAATAATAAAAAATATAAGGTAACATATATATATATATATCAAATAATTTCAAAATCCAGTTTTAATTAAATATAATGAAATAATAAAAAAACAAAAGAACATTCTATTTCTAATATATCTTCAATTATATTTATTATATATAATAATTAAAATAAGTTAAGCTAAAGGAAATCGAATTCTATATATATATATATATATAATAACAATAATGACGTATAGACATCGCGCGATACACGTGTTCATTATTTCGCGCTACACGCGTGTTTACTATGTCGCGCTGCATGTGTGCTATGCTATACTTTTATACTATATTATTAACGAAGTTATTTCGACAAGAGAGGACCATGAGATCTTCGCTCTATGACGACGCACGCAAAATACTAGGGAGTAGTAATAGTTTAATTAACACTCCTATATATATATGACATAATGATAAGCGGAACATATGGATCATCGCACGAAATAGAAAATAAGCGACAATAAATATATATGAGCGACGCAGAAAAGGCGTGGTCGTAAATTATTATATATAGTTTAATGACGTGTTTTTCTTTATGTTACATATTTCCGCATGACAAATATATATATATATATATATATATATATATATAGCATTTATGCGACTAATGGAAAATTCATCAACTATGAAAAACTCAACAATATATTATATATATTATATAACTTTAAGATTATTTAATTATTATTATATATATAGATATATATAAAATACAAAACAATTAAGATTAGCTCTCATTTCCTATGATTTTATTTTTATAAATAATTGGATAATTGATTTTTGTTATATACAGACTTTCATTAAATAATTATTTTGTAAAGAAATATATATATATATATATATTTAAGTATATTTTATAAAAATAATAGTGCATATATATTTATTAAAATTGATAAAAATTTTCTGTAAGCTCTTGCGAGAGAATTACTTAAATTAGATAAATTGCACATTTTATCTGTTATTATTGCGACTTAGATTAATTATATATAGCAACAAAAATTTTTATATATATATATATTCTCAATTTATTTAAATTACATTTATGCAATAATAATATTGTATTGTGCTGCCATCTCATACTAGTTCAGTTACGTAAGATTTATTTGTACTATTTTATCGATAGAGTACATAAATGTCAGATGTAGTACCTCGATTTGACGTAAAAATATGATGGCAGCATAATACAACGTCTAACGTGAGTTAACCTAATAAAAAAGTCATGTGTAACCACGTGTAGTTGTGCACTAGAGTGGAGAATATTAATTTATTATTACTATTCATCAATGAAAATACATAAGCACAATTAACTGTTTTTGATACGTAAATCAAATTTAAAAGAAAAATGAGTTTATTTGTTATAAATAGGTAGATAAAATATATTTCTTATTAAACGATTGTTAAACAATAACAACCTTGTCTACAAATTATTTATTAATTTATATTTAATGTAATATATATGTATTTTATATAGGTATGAGGGTGAAAGCAAGGAGGAAGTTGAAAATGAAACAAATTATTTGGATGAATTGTTGAAGAGAATAGAAGAACGTAAAAAACAAAAAGTTGCAGCAAATAGTAAAGTTATACCAAATGTGGATCAAAACAATTTAAATAAACATCAGAAAAGAGAAAGAAATCTTTACTCAATACAGATGAAACTAATGATTCACACATTAAAGTCAAAAGTGAGAACAATGAAAAAATTAATGAACAAATTGAACAAACAGAAATGGTCAAAGCATCAAAAAAGAAAAGAAAGAAGAAAGATACTGAGAGCACACATACTGCAGCACAGGAAAATGAAGAATCACAAGAAAAGGATAATAATTTAGTAAATGGAAAAGAAGATAATGATACTACAAATATAAACGAAGAAAAAATTGTGCAAAGTAATTTTGTAGTGTTAGGTGCAAAATCTAAAAAAAAGCAACGTGAAGTTAAAAGAATATTGCCAGACTGGCTGGCACATCCAGAAGTTATATCGGCTGATTTGAATAGTGGACCTAGTTTAGAAGAATTTGATTCAATTTTGGATGCTAAATTGATAGAAGCCTTAAGAGCTAATAGCATTGTTAAATTATTTCCAGTTCAATCCAGCATAATAAAATGGTTGCATAAGTGTAACATGGATAGGAAAATAGGACGGTGGCTGAGAGATACATGTGTATCTGCTCCTACAGGCAGTGGTAAATATCAACAATAAATAATATTTTTGCATAATATATGACAATTAATATATATTAATTGAAAAGACAAAATGTACTTTTGTTTTTAATATTTTTTTGTATTTTATTACAGGTAAAACCCTGGCTTATGTATTACCCATTGTACAGGAATTGCAAACACGATTGATACCGAAGATACGTTGTCTAATTGTTCAACCAGTACAAGAATTAGCTGCACAAGTTTACAAAGTAATGATCACTTATACATCTCATACAAATTTAAAGGTGGGCCTGCTTTCAGGTGCATTTTCGTTTGAACAAGAGCAAGTAATATAATTAAGAAAAGTATGTATTTATTTTTAATACTTATAACAAAAAAATTACATTATTATATAAAAACTTAATAAAATATTATATTACAGACCCAGATATCTACACTAAAAGTACTTATATGATTACAGATGAAAGAGAAAAATATTTATCCATGGTGGATATTATAATCGCAACGCCTGGTCGTTTAGTAGATCATATATTAAAGACACCTGGATTTTCCCTTGATTCTCTAAGATTTCTTATTATCGATGAAGCCGATCGTGCAGCGGAATGGATACAGTATTTACCTGAACCTCACTCTCGTCCTTTTATTTTAACGCTTGAAAATATACATTCCAGGTTAATTTTTTTTATAAAATAATTTTAAAGATATATTTGAATATTATATTTTCTGGTATAGAAGCAATTTCTTTTAAATTTTTTTCAAGACAATATAATGATTATTTTATGCACAAATAACAATATTAATTTATTAATTTTTTTACAGTAAAGTCATACCAGCTCAAAAACTATTATTTAGCGCAACCTTATCGCAAGATCCTGAAAAGTTGAACCGGTTGAACCTTTTTCAACCAATTCTGTTCACGACTGTTGTGACCGACAAAGATACGGATGTAAATTTGGATAAGATCGCGGGTGATTTCGTCGGACGTTACACGAGTCCGGGGGAACTGACGGAACTCGCGGTGGAATGCATTGCCGAATACAAACCAGTTGCCCTGTATCAGCTGTTGACGAGGCACGATACCATTTCCAAGACTCTCGTCTTCACAAATTCCGGACATACCGCGCACAGACTGGCGCTTTTGATGCAATCACTCTTGTCGGAACGGAATGTCGCAGTCGGAGAATTGTCTGCTCAACTCGCGTCGAAGCAACGCGAAAGTGTTCTCAGTAAATTCGCAAGCGCAGAGATACATGTGTAAGTTTTCTGTTTTTTCAAGATAAAATAATTCTGAATTTTATAGGACATATTTTTTTTTATTTTGAGATTATGTTTTAATGCTAATTTTCTTTACTAAGAAAAATATGTATATAATAAAGATAGATTTTAATCTTTTTCGAAAGTAAAAGAAATAATTTAGTTTTAATATTTTTATTAATCTTGATTGTTTTATTAGATTAATAAGTTCAGACGCGCTGGCTAGAGGTTTAGACATTCCGGATGTGCAACTGGTTATATCTTATGATGTCCCGAAGCACATCAAAGGCTATATACATAGAGCTGGAAGAACTGGGCGAGCTGGTAAACCGGGCGTTGCAATATCTATACTCACGCCGAATCAAGTTGGGATATTTAAGCAAATGTTAAATGGTGCACATAAACTCGTGCCTAATATCGAGAAAATGGAACTGAATACCACGGTGAACGCGGTCAATTATCAGAATCATCTTGGAGAATTAAAGGAAATTCTTGAGAAAGAGAAGAATGAGAACTTGGAACGAATAAAAGCCGTTAAACGTAGACGTCTGACAAATGTGATTAAGCAAAATGAAAATTAAAATAACTTTTTGCAAAAAAAAATATATATTCCTTTTCTGTGTAAGCTGCTCCGTGCTACTTATACAATTATTATTCGAAAAAGTTTGTCTATCGATAATAGTTAATAGTAATAACTTATTTAATTGTTGATGTTAAGCTCATTTACACGCTGAATAAAATACAGAAACGTATACAGATAATAGGGTAACATCGATAATAACATTTTATTGTCTGAGGTTAATAGTACCGTACATCATGCTCATTCCCTATCGTAATTCGTTCTATGAATAATCGCGATATATCCCGTTTCAAACGGTATACTAATTATTACTCCCATTATTTTTTATTCCGTCGAAGGCAAGTATTCACAGTTTTAATTTACAAAAGATAAACGGCACCGTGTTCATTGGACGACGATGCAGACATAAGTTATTTGCTATTATTGCTGTGTAATCTCATTGCTCAGAACTAATTCTACTAAACTTTTCTTTGTTATATTGAACATAATATTACAGAGAAATGCTTTATTATAGCTTCTCAATTTTTAACAGAATTTGTCGATGAAAAATTACATGATGCCTCGAATTTTACAGAGATGACCACAGCATACAATAATAATTATAAACGTACAATATATATATATATATATATATATATGAATTACAAGTTACAAGAATGTCACTTTTCAGTCGTTGAATTTAAAGGAGGAAAATTTAGAAGACTAAACGGAAAAATAAACATAGGAGATATTCGTTTAAAAATATTTTTTTCTACATATATATTAATTATGTAGTCTACAAAGTAACGAAAAATAAAAAATAAGAAACATTATTCAATGGGTGTGTGGTTTAACTTAATTAATTTTATAATTTATCATAAATATATTCTATATACGTATAATTTATATATATTTCACATATATTTAATATTTATATACTTTATGATATTCTTTTATGACTAAATTTTGATTTCTGTACAACAAACAATTGTACAAACAATTGCATGTTTTCTCTTATAGATATCGCATTATTTTCGCATGACATATTTAATTACACAACTCGGACCAAAGTTCGGACACCTTCAAACTTGTAATTCAAACTTCGAGCATGTACCGGAATTGTTACTACAATTTCGTATTGCGCTGTCGCAGTGAACAATTAAATCGTGAATTAAATTGCATAGATACTGAAGTAACCCTTCACTTAGAAATTGTTAATTTCCCGCGAAAACAAGCTTTCTTAAAACACTTCAACATGTGCATAGATTTCCCGTTTAACCAACACACCATTAACATTTCGTTCGTCAGAAATCAGAGGCGGATTACACCAGTGGACTCTAATCAAATTGGTTTTCGACTCTCTTATGAATATGTTAATTTTTTATTGTTCACATGAGCTACGTTATTTTGGATCACTTATATAAATTTGTATGTTTATAACAAAATAAAACAAAAGATGCAATATATATCTGATTAAATTTTCATTAAGAACGATCTCTTGATAATAAAAGTTTGAGTTTTTGAAATATAAATTAGACAATAAATTTCTGTTCTTTAAATTTCGATATTATAAGAACGATTTAATATATTAATATTAAAAGTACTTATATTTTAATGAAATTTTGCCACCTAAATTGCGAATTAAGATTATTAAGATTCAATGGAAAATAGAATGTCGGATTCAAATATACCATTTAGGGCAAAAGCTTACGATCGTGATATATTTTTTTTTACGCGAAAAGATTTAATTTACAAAATGAATTAATATAAATGTATGTACTTAGTATGTTTTTATTCTAGATTTCGCATATTTGTAGTTTTAGATCGTAACTTTTTTACTCTGTACCTGTATTTATTAAAAATTAGCAATTAGATTGCCGTGATGTATATGGAGTAGGCAGTGATTTATACAGGGTCAGCAACTTTTTGTCACTTACTGGTTATATTTGACTTTTAATAGGAATTCGAATTTTTAATCGAATTTTTATAGAAAATATATGAGAATCAGATATAAAAGAAGCCATGGGAATGAAAGTATGTATAATGAACTATGAATATAAATTATAGCAAATACGCGAGAAAATTTAATAAACATAATGTTCAAAAAATATTTATTTTATAAAGCTAAGTAACATTTGATTTAATCACAAAATTAAAAGGGAGCAATTCTTGATTTTATTTTACATATTTCTTATTTTCAAAAATAGTAAATGTAAAAAAATAATTTCTATTTCAGGTACTTAATTATTCTAAAACTATAAAATTATTTGAGATTATATAATACATTTGAATAAATTTATATTTTATTAGATTCTCATATATTTTCCATGAAAATTAAAAATTAAATTGAAAATTTATATTAACAAATAAATTTATTAATTTATATAAATAAATTTGTATAAAAGTAAGAGGTTTTTTATAATTGCCAATTTTTACTTTTGCGACAGAACAAAAAAACTGTTGGTGTGTTCAGACAGTTTAAATAGTTCGACAAAACGTCCACTCGAATTTTCGTTGTCTGAATTCTAACGAACGAGCCAGATTCACATTTATTATGATATATATATATATATATATATATATATATATATATATATATATAATATTTATATGTGTAATATATATCTTATGTAACATATGTATATATATATTTTTTTCATTATCTCTTTCTATATATATATATATATATATATATCTTTGTTATATATTATATTCTTTAATAAAATCTTAAATTGCAACGCATACATAAAAATTATTATTGCAATCAATGCATAAAAATTTAGTATTTAAATCTTTAACAGAAAACGCGAACAAAAGAATAGAATTTTCTACAGGATTTTCGATTAAAATACCTGCGCTAACTCACATACCTCCAAACGTCCAGTATGCTGCGCGGCTCGCGCGAGACTGATCGTTAGTCTCGCAATCGCAATGTCTCGATCTCGAACCTCGAACAAAAATCAGTCCCGCGCGAGACGCGTAGCGTGACGGATGTAGGGGACGTGTTAATCTAATGGAAAGGATAGAGAGAGAGAGAGAGAGAGAGAGAGAGAGAGAGAGATATTTCATCGGGCCCGGTTTATTCTTAGCTATGAAGTTTTGCCGTCAAGGTATTTTGATTGAAAGATTCTTGTATAAAATTCAATTTTTGTCGCATTTTCTGTTAATTGTTTAAATATTGAGTTTAAATATTGAGTTTATATGTATTACATAATTAATTAATATATCTTTATTCATACATTGCAATTTTTATTATCAAAAAAATAATATAATTTCTATGCTTCGCGCACGTAATTATATTCGGTTAGATTAAATAAAATGAAACAAAAATTAATATATAGAGAGGAGATATATATATAATATATATATATATATATATATAGAGAGAGAGAGAGAGATATATAGAGAAAAAATATATACATATATGTATATGTATATATAACTGTACGTAGATACGTATCGTGCGTATAGGCAGTATTTATCTTCCATATTCATTATATGTTACAATCGCGAATCCACCTTCTATGTCACATTATTACAAAATCTATCCTCGTTTGAGGATACATCGAATCGAACGAGTTCTTAAACGCTTACTTCGAAAAAATCTGAAAGTTCACACACACACACACACACACACGCACACACACACACACACACACACCTGTTATTCTGTGTTATTTACATTTACATGTATTCATTAGTATATATAATATATGGGCGTATGTACATACATTAAACGTGGTCCTATATGATTCATATGTCTCGTTGCTGCATATATGTATTTTTTTTTATACTTAACGCTGATAAACTCTGCGTTTTTATATAGTAGCATATCTTACGATAAAAGGATATTCAATGGGTTTTCCGTAATGAGATTCTGTATATTATATATATATGAAATGTACATTATGTATATATTGCATATATAGAATAAATAAAAAACTACGCGCTTTCCCTCCATTGTACACATCAAAATGTTAAAAAGAAAAATTTGTTTTAATGTTGTATTTAAGAATGAAATGATTTGATGAATTAATTTTAAAATTGATTAAATTAATTTTAAAAACAAACAAAAAGAGATAATATAAAATATATTTTCTTTAATTAACTTGAAATAAAGTTTAACAAAATTTTTTATCTTTGTAAGCACTTTGTGACTATAATATGAAAAGATGCGCGATTTTTTATATATCCTGTATATGTTAATTATGTGGAGTGCGCTAAGCTGTGATGTACTTAAAAACTCGCCGGATTTTTGCAAATCACCATCAAATCGCCAAGCCAATTTATATGAAATATATATGTATATATGTAAGGCATTAAGGTATAAACGAATGAGATAAAACAGTGCATTTTATACATATAATAATATAATATTCACATATTCTAATTATATCAGTTTATTTAAATTTTTTTAAATCACATTGCAATTTAATAAAAACTATGATAATAAAATGCCATTTATCTCGTTAAAGGTAATAAAATTAATAATCTGCGAATTCTGTGAAAAAATTCACAGCAAGATATTATAAAAGAAATAATGACGAGAAAAAAAACAGGCCTTTTCTAGCGAGCTTTTAAGCCGAATGAATGTTCGATCTGACGAGACTTCACTATACCGTATTTATTGTCGTGCTCTCCGTTCCCTGCATACAAATTACAGTATACGTCGGCTCATCTAACCGTAAAAGTGCACCGACCGAATTAAGCCGCGTCAATTTGCGATAGTCAAGTGCACATTTAGCCTGCCTGTATCGTGATCGCGACAGATGAAAAATAAAAAAATGTCGTGGAAGACGGCAAAACGGGACTGCAAAACGGACTGCAAAACGATACTAATTACTAATGAAATAGAAATTAGGAGCCTGAGCAAATCTCAAATAAGTCACATCTTTTTATTTGTGAAAATAATTTGTACTTTATCGATTCTCTATATTTTATATCACGATATATTTGAATATTTTTTAGCAGCAATAATAACTACAAACTAGATAGACAATTATTATTACTGCTAAAAATAAGTAATATAATAATTCACAGATTTCACAGCTTATTTCAAGTAAATTAATTAGTTTGCATTATCGCATTTCGAGCAATTCGATTAGAGAAGCTCACGAACTCTGTTCTCATATCTATATATAAACAAGAGAAAATTTTTATATCTATCAATATATTACATAGATAATATACATAGATATAAAATATAAAGAATCGGTGAAATATGAAAATATAGCTCAGACTTCCTTTTTCATATTAATAATTTGACATTGTTAATGTTCACATAGCAAAATTTCAGGAGATTTGAAATTTATTTTTAATTCCATAATAAACACTCGCCTCACAATTAGTTATATTTTCTTTTGTTGATAATGTAAAAGGAACAATTTATATCCTGGAATACTTGTCAATTACAACCCGTATATTTTTAATTCTAAGCGACAAGAATATGAACATTGATTTGCAAGAACTGTGGGGTCGAATCAGAAAATTCGTGCATCATGTAAATTTCTCGATAATTTTTGTGCAATATTTTTCATCAAATACTTTACTAGTGAAAATAAAATTAAATCTCTTTTACAAAAATAACATTTAAAAAAAAAACCAAATATATCATTCTGCGACTTTTATATTACAATATATATAATTTCTTCATTCACATATATTTAACTTCTTACACAGTACATGTTAAATTTTTATTCCGAACATCAAATTTTCAAATAATTATTTTTGGAGAAAGATAAAACTGTCGACTATGCCAATTTATAAATCAATGTAATCACGAACTTTTGCGATATGTGAATGTCGACATGCAAAACTCATCTCGCAGTTCTGTACATATTCGCATCTAGACATTGTCTTTTTTTCATGTTCGCTAAGTTGAAAAAGCGTGATGCACGAACTTGCTTGATCGTATTTTACCTACAGTTCGATTAATCGCCGGTTACATTTAAACAAGAGAAAAAGAGAGTGAGAAAGAGAAATAGAGAGCGTCTCTCTAACTCACATGTGTCGACTGAATACCGCACTGACACTGCGTCGCGTATATTTACACAAACTCTGTCAAAAGTTTCGTCATTATCTTTTTGGTCGCATATCCAGATATAGTTATACATATAGACCGAGCATTGATGGTGTGTGTAGCCTGGAGAATAAACAGAAAAAGAGAAAAAGAGCTAGAGAGGAAGAATCTCAGAAGAGATCCGTTTCTCTCTAACAAAAATTGCACAGACACAAATGAGAGAAACGAATTTTTTTCTGATTCTTCCTCTTTTTTTATATCCCATTTTCTCTTCTTTTCTATCTGACATTCACTAACGAAGTATTGTGAGTGTAGGACCAGCTCAGTTTATATATATTATGCCTATAATCGCGCCGCAGTGATTACACCTGATAGTATCTAAAAATCCTTGTTATATCGAAGGGAAGACCTATTTCTTTTTCTTTTTTAGCGTGGATTTTGTACCCTCCGCTCTATTCTCTTGACTCTATTCCCATCACGAGCCTCAAACCCTCGAACAATGCTATGAAAACACTTTTGGAAAAAGTGAAAGCTAGAATTCGATTTCGTCAATTAATAGTATTTAAAGTGTTAAAACTACAAGTTAAAATAAAAATTAAAACTTAATACGATTAAGTTCTTTGGATTTGTTAAACTTTAATATATTAATTTTTTGTAATTATATTATATTTTCTTATAATTGCTTATCACAATTATAATTGAAAAAAGATTACTGTATCAAGTTGAGTCATTTGTAAAATAATACTTTTTTTGAAAGCACCTTCACGAGGACCATTTAAATGATTCGGGAAAAGAGTCATTTTCTCTCTCTTCTGTACATTCTCTCTATTCGAATTTACTCTCGTTTATATTTACAATCATCGCCAGAGGGACTGACCTGCCTAGATAGGATTGTCCTGCACGCACGGCGCGTCCCTTTGCGTTACTTTTAGACGACTAATGAAGATCCACGAGGGGTTCCTATAACTGACCCCTTTGTTTGCTTTTCTAAGTTCATTCATTAATCTTCATTTTGTATTCATAATAACTTTGTACGCAAATGGTGTCCGATTATATCGCGATATATTAATTCTCTTGATGAACAAAATTAAATGTAATGTCGTGCGCATCGACCTGATTAAAGTTATTTTCTTTCTTAAAAAAAAAAAAAAAGAATAACATTTTTGCATGTGCTTCGATATATTTAGCGAATCTTGATCAAAGTTTTTTGTAAGCTGCAATCTTGTACAAAGCTATCAGATTCTTGGTACAAAGGCGCACAAAGGCAAATTTATAATGTTTACCTTAAAATTATGATTAAAAGATAAAAGGTAGTAGAGCATTTATATAGATGATAGGAGGTAATGAAGATAATAACCAGCCAGTCGATGTCAGATTCCGTCGGAACCAGGCTCTTCTTCTCTTAAAGAGATTGGTTTTCTACTTTCCGAAGGTATTAGATTTCGCGATCGATACTTAGAACGGAGCGCGTAATCCGAGAAAGCATTTTGACATCGCAAAAAACGTAAAGTACATCAAATATTGATTAAAGAAGAAGAGTCTATAATATTCAGAGATTCCTCTAAAACGATTACTTCCTTTAAATATATTCTGACAAGCTTTAAGAGAAAATTTTGTTCATAATTAACAGTGGAGATAATCGTCTCCTGTACAATGCAGCATTAAATGTCTCAAGATTACCTTTTGATCTATAATGGAATAAAAATATATGGATATCTTAATATAAATTGTAAAAAGATTATATGTATAATTACATTTGATAAAAAATATATAACAATATATTTTCTATTTATTACTGAGTATATAATATTTGATTTACTTTAGCAGATATGTTCAAAATTAGAACAGAAAATAGGTATATGCGATAATAAAAAGTTTCGATCAACAAAACTCTAACGAAAAAATATTGTAGAAATTCATAATAATTAGAAACGTGCGCATATTAATCATAATATAAAAAACTCACCAAGTTTTCAACGTGCAACACATAAAAGTTTTGCAACTCGTGAAATGTTATTTTTTGATCTGTGATGCACTAAAAAAATCACAGTCTTCTAAATTTATCGATTCTCAAGATCGTGGATCTTCATACTCGCCGATTCTATCATAATCCTTTGTCTCTTGACACCGCGATGTCATCTTATAGAGTAGTCGGCAAAAGAAGCAGAAGCAGAATCGCGGACACCGAGGGATGCCTGAAATTCGCGACGTTCGAAAGATTGACCCAGGGCGGCGGAGAAGGCACGGCGAAGGGCCTGTCCGTCCTCTGGCCCTCCTGAAGGGTGCTACCGACCATGATCTGCGTGGTACCGAAATCATCGTCGCTACCGATGAAATCGTTGTCGTCGAAGCCGCCCGCGTGTCCTCGTCTGCCGTTGCTATTGTTGCTCTTCTTCTTGCCCTTCGACAATATCTTCTTACGCGACTTATCTATGTTCTTCATAAGCGTCGTCGGTGTCGTCTTCGCGAACAACTGCAGCTCTAAAGTAACAAAAAAGCAAATACATCCGCGAAATGAGCGTAGTGTTATATTATACGTATAATCAAAGTTATTTTTATTTTAAGTGAGGCACAAATATTTAAAAATCGATTTAAATTTCTAGGATTTATCGATAAGAATAATTAAGTTATTAATTAAAATATTGATAAAAAAAAAAGCTTTTACTGTTATCAATTTAAAGTTATGTATGCACATAGTATTATTGTCGGATGTATCGTAGGATGCATCACTAATCTTGTATTTGAAGCGGGATGTTGGAGAACTGAGAACTGAGGAAACATATTTTTTTGTCATCATATCGGAATTCTCCGTACCTTGCAATCGTACTGAACCATCGGCCTTGCCGAGAGCGTTGACGGACGAGCACACATACCCGCCGAAGTCCCGTTTTTCCAGGGAATTGACAGTAAGATTCATTTGCCGGGAGTAATCGCTCAGCGCGTACTCCGACATTGTGTATTTGTCACTGGGCAGCAGTTTCTCGCCTAAATAGAAAGCGAACGGAAATATTGCGCTACTTTTAATTGCTTGGCTCTTCCACCTGCAGAAATATTTTCCACGGAATTTGATTTCTGGCATAAAAACGATCAGAAATATGACCGTGCAATATAGGTTTGATTGATAACGGTTCAATAAAATATTGTCTATTTAAAAATGTATCTAATAATGAATATTTCCTTTAACTCTAAAACTCAATGATACAGTTTTTTACGTGACAGTGTACAGCTGATTTATTAAATGTTTAAATTATATTATACGTGGAAAATTGTCTGTTTTACTTCAACATTCGGACGTAAAATTTTTAATTTAATATTAACTCTCAGTTACCTCTCTGGGTTACGTTAACCCATATCAAAAATAATTTTTTCGAAATTTTAGAAGATCACTTTTCATTTTTTCTCAAATATCTCGAGTCGAAGAAATCTGGTGACATTTGTATCGATATATTCTTTTTTCTTACTGTCTGGCGTATCGATTGAAAAAAAAAATACTTCAAAATAGCTTCATTATAGATCCAGAAATATAAACAAAAGAAGACTCTGGGTTACTCTAATCTATGATATGGTAAAATAGGGTGGCCAAAAATGAGTGGTAACTGAGGGTTAAAAACATTAATAATAATTTGTAGTAATGTGTAAGTTCTTAATATTAAATATACATATATTTTTAGAAATGAGTAAATACTTGATAGAAAAAAAATCACAAATAGAGAAGAAAAAAGTTTATATTCTCACTCTAGTCAATAACTGCAGCACAAATATACAACGTGCTAAAAATATTTTTATGATTTCTCAATCAAGATAATTATTCTCATATATATATATTCTAAATACTTAACTATCATTTATTATGTGGAAGAAACTACTGTTTTGAAATCATTATACTCGCGAGAAAATGTCATCGTTAATCAGACTTTTTTGAATGCATTGGATTTTACGTCAGATTTACAGAGTTTTTTTCGAAGCAACAGCGCGCGTTTACCAGCAATTCACAAATTTACATATTTGATTAACGCAGGCACCTGGCGAGTAAAAATCTTTCTGTGATAAAACTATAGTAGTAAATGGCGTGAAATGCAGATTTTCAATCTGACACAATTCTGACTTGCAATCAATATTATTATGGTACGTCGAAGTTAACGCTTTAGAAATTGATTGCAGCAATTCTATGGTTAATCAAGAATGCAAATTTGTTGGTGTAATATGATGTAATACAAATTACAAAGTGTTCAATTAGTATCGCATCAAATTTTAACATACTTTTATCAATTTAATTCAAAAGTTTATTCCACCATTCAAAGATATTTGTATTTGAAAGTTTCTATGTGAGAAAATATTTATCTCAGATTAGTAAAAAAGAATTTCTTTCTAAAATTTTTAAAACTGGATGAACGTTTGCAAAATACTTTGTACGAAAGAAATATTAAGTACGAAACAATCTGTAGTTTCTTACCTCCTTCTCTGTACCAAGTATTCATAGCGTGCGGTGACGCTTCGACGTAACATTGCAACACGACGTCACTATTAATCGGCGCAGCCACCAATTGATTCGTCACTTTAATAGCAGGTTGAACTGAAACAATTGCCACATTAAATTGCCGCAATTAACAATACAGAGGTATAGCATCAGATACATTATTGATCTATGTAAAATAGCACGTTACTCCATCATCATTCTTAAATATCGAATAATATTTCACTAGAGAAAGCGTGTAATATTGTATGTCACTAGTAATTTAGCTGAAATATCGAGCATGTATAAAATATATATGTTTTTTAGATATCTTTTACGTTATTTTCGTGTTTTTATTTTTTCATATCAATCTTCCTATTTTTTAATGCAAAATATCAGTTACAAAACTGTTAACTGTTTGATTATTGAAAAGCCAAATGTATATAGTATTGTATAAAAAAAGACATTATTTATAAACGAGCGAAATGAAATTGAACATAAAATAAAATGAGCGAAATAAAAAAATAATAAAGATGTATTTTAAATCCCGAAGGAGACCACGTGCTGTTCATTCAAGAATTAACTGGTTTCGCTGCATTTTGCGCCCGTGCGTCACCACCTACCAGTGGGTTAATATTACATTTCGTAAGCAGAGCGAATTAATGCGAAACCCTTTGCGCTCAAATATTTACACGCCCCGCGACGACGTGGATAAATCGTCAAGCTCGCTGGTTAATTTTGCAACAGCGCGCGGCCGGAAGTTTTGCGCGCGAGAAAAAACACCCTACGCGAGCGGACTTCGGGGGGTTGATAAAGTTTTCATTTGCGAATGCCGTTAGCCAAATTGCACGGTGATTTTTTATTCTTCCGATACGCGCGGTGTAACATTGCGAATGTATGCGCGTATTTCCGGTAATTCGATTGTTTTCCCAAAAGACCGTTATTGACATACTTTCCACGTGGTTTTCTAATAATAAAAATTTCAACTATTTCAAACTGTTAAAAAATGGAAATGTTTTTATAATTATGTTATTATTTAATTATAATTAAATGTTTGGAAGAATGTATGAAAATTTGTGATATAATATAGTACACAAAACAAACTTATTAAAAATAAAAGTTTTCTAAATTGCAATATCGATTAATCAAGATAATCAAGAAAATGAATATACACCTACATAATTATAATAAATAATGTGTATCTATATTAATATGTTGCACGATAATTTTTGTTGGTGTCGACAATGTCGGTCACGATGGTTTTCGGTGAAAAGTTTCCGAATAAAAATTCTACCGTGTAACATAGGTATTGAAAAATGTTTTAAAGTTCAACTCAACCTCATTTCCTATTTCAAGCCTATATCCTTAACCACAGCGCCTGGATTATGGTTTAGCGCCGATATTGAAGAAGCATTAATAATCGACATGATTCTGACCCTAATAATTAAAATATACATTATATCGGCAAGAACGCTTATGCGGCCGAGATAAAATTGACACACATATGCTGCTTTTAAATTTATAATGGTATTAATTATGCAGAATTATTTACGTCATGAAATAAATTTAACAGACCCAAACTATATAATATTGTATAAAATTTTAAAAATATATTTACGTACATATTTCAAATTACAAAATAATTAAAAAAATTTAAATTTGCACTTTATAATTCTTGAAATTTTTGCTTAGAAATGAGAAAAATATAGCAGATTGTCGATAAAGTAAATTTAATTACACATTGCTTCGATAGCATTGTAATTATTATATGTTTATCCTGTTTCATTAAATAATTAATTAACGTGCTCATCTTTATCCATCTATCCTGTCACACGTGAACTTATGAAGGACGGTTATATACGAGTAATTATGCAGTGACGTAGAGGGATGGATTTAGAGAATTTTAATCCTCCAACGTGATTATCCTTTTAGCATCAAAATCTAAACTTTCATTCAAAAATAGCATTTCATTATAATTTATCCAAAACTTTAATAATTTATTTTTTAAAAATAACGTTTTACGCCTTTTTCCAAAAATAATTAAAAAAAATGTTATTCTTTAGAATTTATGAACGACGGCGCAAACGCTGTTTGGCAATTTCGAGAGCAGAAGACAACCAAGGATGATGTTTGAGCACTCTGACCTGCTAATGTATGCAACGCGACGACGAGGGAACGACGGCTAATTAACGGCCGCAGCGCGACATGATACTTACAGTGAACATCAACGGAGTAACGCTTGCTGACCGTCGGCGGCACGTTGTTACTGGCTATGCAGAGATACGTTCCCATCTCTGCCCGCTGCACCCCCGTCAATTCCAACGTCTCACCGACGAAGGTTTTCAGTACTGCAATCAAGAGAATCAATATTGAGAAGCTTCTAATTAGGTTCGTATATATGTTTTGCAAAATATACATTATAAGAGAAACAAACCAATCTGTGACAGTTTACGTCTACATTCTTTTAACTTGCATTTTTCGGTTTTATACATCTTAGGAATGAACATAATCAATTTCGATACTTTCGAGTAATCAACTTTGCTTTTTTTAAAGAATAGGCATTTTTAATAACTTTTATAATGAATATAAGTTTTCTGATGAAATTTACTAAAATCTTAAATGAGTATAATCATCTACATAGAATTATTCTAATATATATTTTTCATAGATCAAGATATATTTTTCAAAGCACTGAGATAACATGACAGAATTGTGTTTGAGATATTACACTGAAATTTTTATGGCGTGTACCGCGCTGAGATCACCAGTTTCTGTTAAGAAACTGTCGTAGAAAAAAGATGAGCATTAATATCGAATTGCAGAAATATTTTTACGTTTCAAACTATATTTATACAAAATAATTTAATGAAAGACAGACATTCGACATTTGTGATTGAATAATAAAAATTGAAAGAGAAATGCAAAAAAATGTGTCTTTAGTAGTCTTTAATTTACGAATGACACGTATAAGTGTATATTTCCTTGCTATACAATACCTTATTTCTTTTGAACACCGAAAAATTACATATAATGTTCTAAATAATAATTTTAACAAACTAACAAAATTTTATGAATCATTCTTTAATTTTTTCTAGTATAATATTTCCCACTTTGCACATGAATCTTAAAAAAATGTTACTTATTTCAAACGTCTTAATTAGAGTTAAAATAATGTTCGCGTATTTATTTGAAATTTTCTGCGCTCTCCATTATCCAATGAATATAAAAAAAGTTACGTCCAAGAAAATCTCGTCGTTTAAATTTTCATGGAATACAGTGAGAGTCAAGGGTTCGTTGTTCCTCGGAACATTGAATTTCAAGCATCGTTACTAAAGGCATGTTGTAAAAGTTTACAACATATCCAAGCCCGCAATTCCCCGAAACCTTCGACTCGTCGTTTAGTCGTCGACAAGGAGTCACGTCGTAGCGAATGACGGATTCGCGAGGTGAGAAGATCGTGGATTCCCCGTTTCTCCTATGCATTTCATCTCTCGCGATATGCGAAGAGACGAGGCGGGAAACGGGCGACTTTTACGAGCCCTCGCTCACGCGCCATCGTTCGTTATACCTCGCCCTTTCGGATCCGTCCCGCCGATCTCGAGGTCCTCCCCCGCGTTTAACGAGACTCAACCCCGAGAGTCCTCTGGGTGTCTATTTTTACGACGCTTCGAAGATCAGACTGACACGAGCGAACGAACGGGCGGGACAAGGTAAAAGTGACAATCGTAGGGCGAAAACTGCACGAAGCGACGATTACGATCGGAGAATTTCTTCTTTTATGTCTGCTCCATCTCCACCCACCTCGCACTTTCCCCATCCACTTTCTTTTTCCTTTTCTTTCTTTCTTTTTTTTTTTTTTTTTTCGCGCGAAAGCTCCTCGGTTGATCTCTCGAGCGAGAATGACGCTAAGAGGACAGGTCGTCGGGGATTCGGAGATCCTTCCGGCAGGATCGTTGCTTGTACACGGAATGTACTCTGCGTAGCGGATCCGGGATTACCGGGGTGACGTGGGCGGATTGCTTGTAAGAGCGGTCAATAAGTGCACTTTAACTCGCGAAGAACGACAAGCGGGCCCGTCCTCGACATCGCGCACGACGGTCGTTAACCCTTGTAAACTTTAATCCCTCCGGGAGGGATTAATCGCGAGGACGAGTTTACTTCAAGTTTATGAACTAGAACAATTCTTCTACAATTTCTCCCAATCCGCGGAACGTGCTAAATAAATCTTTGTGAAATATTTCTGTCAACGTGAAGTTTCCGTGACGTTTCGCCTCGCGGAACGGAAATACGCACCCGCTGACATTTCGACGATAATGGGCGACGAGGGATATCGAGACGAAAGAGGAATATATATATATATATTTATCGATTTATTTATTTTGCGATTTAACTTGGCGCCGTAATTTATGGTTTTAGACATACACCCCCGTGTGCATTGTAGGGGGAAGTGTGCTTATATATTTGCCACGGGGCGCGTAAATTACCATTCGCGCTGTAATTAATTACCGGCGGGCCTGGCGAGCGCGAGAGACGATCGATTATTCCGCGCTGATGCGCCTCGACACTTTATCGCTCCGACACTTTTCCAGCCGCGTCGGCACGACCATCTTAATTAGAGAATCGGCGGAATCATCGTTAGCGCGAATTGAGACTTCCCGAAAGCTTTATGCGTATCGTTGACTCCCCTCGAAAGAAATCCGGCCTATCGAAATGAAAAAAGTAGATATCGTTAATGCTACCAAACGAGCACGTCACAGATACGAGTTTCGTATATATCGAATTTTTTTATATCTTTATGTCAGGTAGCTTCTACGTTCGTTTTTATTAGCGATAAAATCAAATCTTTAATCTATACCTCATATTGTGTATACTCCTATAAATTATAATGCATATTTCATGTAATGCCAAGCGAAAAATAATAAGTCACGACTGATATTGATGCCCTTTCAAAAAGGTGAATAATAATCGATAATTATAAAGAAAAATCTGGTTAAAGTGTCAAAGATACGAACATGGTAATTAAATGCTCAAGTAATATTGAAAAATGACATAGCTATAATTGTTTAGACATTTTATCCAATTGATGAGCAGCTACTGAATATAAAATAAAAAAGTATGCTGGAAGAGAAAGAAAAAAACATCGTCGCAATTGATATTAAATATACGAAGAATATAGAAAATTGCAGACGATTTATTTCTGTTATAGTATAGTAAAGTATAGTTCCTATAATATTTGATGCGTTAAATAAATTATCCTACATTTGATAGTGGCACTGAATCACAGCATTTAAGGATCCAATTCAATAATAAAGCTAAGATGACCGACATCAAGAAGGTAGAAGCCGTGTCGGCATACACGTACGTCAACTATGACCCTGTTTCTGCAACATCTACGCTTGCTTCACAGTTAGGATTTATCGTTCAACGTGTACCCTATATCAGGTCAGATGTCAACACTTGGAACGTGCGAATCTTAAATTCGAAACTCTAAAATGCATAAGTCCAAATCGACTTACTTTACATGAAAAGAAAAAATATAAGCGGAAATATTTTAAGATTTAAAAAAATATACACTTTTCTACTTTTATAAAACTGAATGAGAAATTGTTCGATCAAATGGCGAAAATTTTGACAACTAACCTAATACAATTCTGATTAAAAGTGCAACGTATTGATAATATGATAATAATAATTGTGTAGGAAAATTAGTGCAAAAAAGAACTTGATTAACGTGTAATCGAAATTTGTTTTTGCTTTGTGTATAATAACATCAAGCACATAATTAATTAATTAGTGTGAGTTCAACTAGTGAAATGTTACATCAAAGTTTTCATTTGATTAAATCGAACGCATTAAAATTTCGAGCGCGTGCCTATTACACTGTTTTTGCATCTCAATATAACGTTACATTGTCATTATTATACTGAAATCAATTAGTATCGTTGAAATCGAGAATATAAAATTACCAATAAATAATTTAAAAAAAACACGTAATTGGCTACATGATACTAGGGTTATAATGAAAAATGAGCACAAAGGAATTCACCGAAATACCCTATTACTGTATGTGATGGTAACATAATACGAGATAAATTAAACTAGAAATTTAATTATCCTTGTGTATTATATGACAAATATAATTATATAAAAAAAGTTTCCGAACTTGCAAAACTTTTTGCAAATATTGTAATAGAGAGAATAGAAATTTTAAAAAAAATTTTATATAAATGTTTTCTATAAACGTTATAAAATGTATAAAAGGGAGAGCGCTGTCTTTGGAATAATATGCTATGTATATAGTATAAATAAATCCGGTTTACACATTGTGCCCAGTTCGTATTCCAGACGAACGTAATTTGCACTATTTGACTCTGTTGAATTTGTTATTATTCTAGCGAGATATATAGTCATCTTGCCGAATACATTCACAGAACATGCGGTTTCAAAGGAATCCCGGATAACTCGATTTTACTAGAATACCGAATTCTGTGAGACTCGCGATTCAAAGCATATTCTAAAATATCAACGGTAAGTGAATGTAAGTTCATCAGAGCGTGGACCGTACAGCAGTTTGCATGTTACATTTTGAGTTCGGTTATATTTGAATCCATTAATGTATTCGCTAATGCATATCTATTGAATGCCTCTTACATTGTGACGAACGTTAATTATCATTTACGATAATGATATCAAGCACAGTGAAGGCTTTAAATGTAATTCAATTCCAGATAGATCGATCGAACATTATTATTATTAATATTAAAATTTCATATTATTATTATTATTATTGAAATATTATAGTATGATTAAAAAGGAGAGTTGGCGCAAATATATTTTCATTTTTAATTAAATAGTACTATATTACTTTCCCTTTTATCATCAGAATTAAATCCTTTAATATGTTCGATTGGAAAGAATTTTGCATTGAATTATAAAAACACAATTTTTATATAATCAGACTGTATTAGAATCATCTTACAGATATAGAAAATTATAAGACTGAATAAAAAATAGTTACGTTGTTTCTGTCCATCTTCTCTGAGAATGATGTTACGACCGTCCTCTCGTTTCCAACTGACAATAGGCTTCGGTGAACCGGTGGCGACACATCGCAATCTTATATTACCTCCCTCGTGAGTAACCATTCCATTTGCAGTGTCATCGTCCATTATATCGGGCGGTACCACTACTTCCATGTATCCCATCTGAAACAAAGAAACAGATATCGCATGAACATTTTGAATTGAGATTATTATTATAAGCTTTATTCTTTTCAGAAAAAAAATAGACTACATACACTATAAAAGTTATAATATATATATTTATTCAAAAGAGCAAATTTAAATGTTTACGTCTTAAAAGTTTTAATTATACATACTGTATGTAACTTAAGTAAACTATAATTCTTGAACTTCTAGCTTATATAACAAGGAATGAGTCTAATCATTACATATTTAAAACTTCAAATTGGAGAATCAATCTGTTTATATTAAACGTTGTCAAAGAATTTCTATTATCGTGTCCTTTAATTGCATAACAATAGTTGAGTTATCTCATTATTAAAATCATTTCTATCAAAAGGATAAGAACAGATTAATTATATTTTAACGTACTATGAACGCGAAGATCAAAGAGTTAAGAAAAATCGAAATTTCTTTATGCGGGATAAACAGCCCGTAGAGCGACCATACTAATAAGGCGGTCTGACAGAGACAAGACTCGAACTACTTGCAGTAGAAAACGCACACTGTTTTACGGTCCTGTGCACATATACGATGAGGGTATCCTCGCACGGGTCTAATATGTGGGAGTATAGAATTTACTAGAAATGAAATTGTACACGTATCCAATTCAATTCAATGAGATCAACATGCAAGAAAATATATAATTTACAATGAAATTAGTACTTAAATTTTCTGGTACACGAAACGATATTTCAATATAAATAAAGATTAAAGTAAAGTATTATTTAAATTCTACAGTTAGTATTGTTAGCAATAACGTACTGCAAACGTAATTTTTTTTTTATATTTTATTTGGCGTAAACATATAGAGATGAAAAATAAAATTCCCTAATAATTAACGAAAGTCCGAGCCTTGACCGCGCATGTGATTGAAATAAAAATTTATTGTTTTCAAACATTTGATTGTATTTTTTGCAATAAAACAATAAATATACCGTATTTGTGTTATATCTGCTCTTTTCAGTAATCTTTATGATAAATCAACATGAATAATTTTTTTCTATAAAAGAGTGTAAAAAATTGTTCTAATTATAAAAGTAGAAAATGTGACATCTTTATTAAATTTTATTGATTAAAAAAGTGTTGTTTAGTAGGCTTCTATTAATTAAAAAGTTTTTAATATTAAAATTTATATTGTTTTAATGGATCAAATTTCAAATATAAAAATAAAATAACGATAAAATTAATGAAGTCGCCAGTGATGAGTAAAACCATACAAATTTATTGCGACAGCAGTAAAATTACTAAAGTAATTACTTTAGTAATTTTACTGCTGTCGAATCAACATCTTGAAAGTTACACTTGAAAAGGACCCGTACCTAAGGGTCGAAACGTAGTGTTTCTAATTAAATTGTACTGGCCAGTTAGGTCGAAATTTCAATAAATTTGTATAAAAATAAAAACTTCTTTAATAATTTTATACACAAAAATAAACTTTAAGGCTTATTTACATAAGAGCAAAATTTCTTATAAAATTCGAACAGAATGCAAGTAATTTAAGAATGAACAACAATTAGATATAATAATGAGCTAATGAGATTACAAGAATCTATAATAATATCTCGTATGTGTACAATGTTTAGCACAACTCTATCTTTTTAATCTGACGACCTGACGATGACGAAATTAACGCAAGACGTCAGTCACTCTAAACCATATTAGAGAGTTTTGTGGCGTACATTGCTGTGTAAAAAAAGCACCATTTTACGGCCCAAGGCACGTACTGGTCGAGTAGGAGTGACGGTCGCCGGTGCGTCACGGATTAACGTGAAATTTACTGGTCGTGGTGCGGTGCACACATCCTACGGAATTCAATGCGACCGGCAAAGCGGGAAACCTTCCGATGCAATATACGGCCCTGCCGCGAGATAAAGGGCCCAAAGTGCTCGTCGTGGTGCAAGCGGAACAAACGGTAGGCGTGAATTCAATAATATATATACATATATATGTGTGTGTGTGTGTGTGTATATGTATATATGAGAAAAGAAAAGAGGTTAAAAAAGAGAGACAAGAGACAGACCAGGTGAGAGGTCTACAGATATAGAATTATATGTGTATATATATAGGAATAAACTTGATATGTACATAAAATTAATTAATGATTTTATTAATGTAGTAAATAATGTAGTAAATAACTCTCTTTTTTATTGAGCTTGTACTCTTCTTTATATTTTAACTGATAAAAAATGTTTTTTTTTTTTTTTTAAATTGCATCCTCGTACTTTTTTTGCAGACTCCGAGCGTTAGTTTACGGAAGAATGTAGCAACTGGCCAGAGATGGTTTAAAGGACGCGCATCTCGAGCGGATAAAACCGCGGTATAAGTAGGACCGATAAATAATCTCGCATCGGCCGACTGTGAGACAATGCAACACACGGGGCTCGGGATTTAAGGCACGATGGGATATTTCGAGCGGCCGAGAGGTCTAGCAACGGAGCGGCAAAGCCGAGATCCTCCTCGTCTCGGGGAAACAGTCGTTCGAAAGCCGTACGACGTGTGCACCTGCCGCACCACCGTCGCCGGCAATAATTTTCCGCGCGCTTTCTCAAACGCGCGTGTAGCTTGAGCTTTGCCGAAAATCTGCATAATTAAAGTTGCCCAACGTAGCGACGTCGAGTCGCGACGACGACGTTATTCCACTGTAGAATGGAATTGCCATGCAATTGCCCCTTTTGCGTCAATATTGTACGCTTATATCACTAAGCTAACTCAAAGACTGTAGAATGTCAATACAAATGTACAAATAATATAAGTAATATGTGTGTGAATAAAAATTATTTTAAATATTTGAAATGTGTATAAATATATTTATTTCTGTTTTCATGCTTTGCACGAGAGGTGATTTATATATTAAATTTGAAAGAACTTTCAGAATTATGGATACTTGTGACAGCTGATGTTTTGTTAAAAGAAAAAGATTTATTTAAAATTTCAATGCAGATGGGAATTCGAGGATAAAATGAAATCTATAACCACATCTGTATATATAAGAATAAATTGTATCTTAATTTTAAGGGGAGCGTCTGCTTTAGAGAATCAAAAAGTAAGATTGAGAATTTTGAGAATTTTTTTGGAAAAACTTTACACACACAGTGAATCATTCTGAAATTTTTAGGCATCTACTATTAAATATTTACAAGTATACAATTATTTTTAGTTAAAAATATAGACTGTGTTAGTCGCCTTTGAGGAATCTTCTCGCCATCAGAGTTGGAAATTGACGAGCATTCTCATATCTCCAAATTTCGTTTGAAATTAAAAAACTAAAAATTTTCTTATTACTTATAAAATTACATTTTGTCGATAAACCTTCAATATTAATTAAAAAATTAATTTAAACAATTTTTTTGCATAAATTAATTTTATACTTTTTCTCATTTTATTGGTTTATCGACGATATAACTTCATAAATAATCAGGAAATTTTTGGTCTTTTAATTTCAGACGAGATTTAAAGATATGAGAATGCTAGTAAATTTACAACTCCGGCGGCGAGACTGCAAGATTTTTATAGAACGATCTCTACAAACTATATTTTTAACTAAAGAAATTTTTTGTGTGTTTATAAATATTTAATATAATATATAAATCCCTAATAGAAGTTTTAGAATAATTCGTTATGCAGTTTCTATTTTAAAAATTCTCAAAGAACACTTTATTTTTAACTTTTTAAAACAAGCGCCCCTCTTCTTAATGATACTTGAAATAAAATAAAATAAATTTTCCTTTATATGTCGACTATGAAATGTAGCTGCGGATGTGGACCGATCAATGTTATACCGCGTAATAATGGTCGAGGATAAAGAAAAAGCGCGTGTTGAAGAGTTATGGTCGGGCTTGTGTATGGAATTAAAAAAATTCCTCCATGTCCGCGGATAGATCTGGCGAAATTTCGCGAAACTTGGATCTTTTTAATCGAATTACGTCGTGTACGGTGCGATGTGGCGCCGCGCTCTGTCGATGGAAATCGATAAAGCCGCGCGTGTAACGGCTGCCGTGCGCGTAATTCCGGTGCGGAAACGCCGTCGAAAAATAAAGCGTTGGGTGGAAGGTAAATGGAAATTAATTTAACAGAGATACGTTGTTATTACGGATGCGCGTCGCAGCGCGTTCCACCGTACCGGATAATATCGTTTGAAGCTGCGTTTGCGGCATTCCGAAAAATGCGGGCGCCCGGGTATTGTTGAAAAATTGGAGAAAAAGGCGAAAAAACAGTATACGTAAATATAAAGATATAGGGAAACACTATTGCGTCATTTGAAAAAAATGTCGTATGTCGCTAGGTTATTCGACAATGCCTCGAATCGAGAGTTTACACAAATCTTTGTAATTTAATGTATCGAAAAGGTGCTCACCTGACTGCGCATAGGATCGGTGTTGACTTGACACATATAAGTACCGGAATCGTTTTTCTGGACATTCGACACATGCAGCTTCCACGTGTTGTGCCCGTTGTGCGTTACGGCTAATCGATTATTGTGTGCCACCAAGTGTGTGTGTATCGCCAGAATCGCTCGGGAATCGGATTTTATCCAGGCTACCTGTATAACAGCGGAGAGATACGAGTGTTATTTCTCGAGATAAAAGAAAATTGGATACTTCATTGAAATATGAATTGTTTCGGTTGAACATTTTGACAAAATATATTTAATACATTAGCTATTTTAATTTATTGTACCAACATAGAATTAAACGAAATTTGCAGCTAAATTTCATACATTTAAATCATACAAATTCATGCGCTGAAGCACAATTAAAAAAAGACCAAAAATAGCGAATTTAATTTTAATTGAAATTGATGCATACACTTATATTTAAAGTGAGATAAAATTCTCTGATACTTATATATAATAAATTCGTATCAATGTTCGCAGTAGTAACAGACAGGCTATAGTCAGACTCGAGAAAGAATATGAAAAATAGTGTGCGAGTGAAGCATAGCGTATAACTCGAAGAAGTACATATTGTGTCGCTTTAACAAGTATAACTCTGTCATCTCGTTCCAGCAAAAGTATACGATAGTATCTTTCATGCGAAAATTATTATAAATGTGTTATATAATTGGAAAAAAAATCTAAGAAAAAAATCTTTTTATTTCCCTAATATATCAGTCTCGATACATAAATTTTCTGACAGACAATTTTTTAATATTCATGCTGTAACGCGAGATTTTTGTAAAAATACTTTTCATTCCAATACACGAATATAAGAAATGTTTGAAATAAGAAATTGCACCTTGTATGTTTGCAGATGATTAACGACACAGGTGAAGAAGACGTCACGACCTTGGATCACCGTATGATTTTCTAAAGGAGCTAAGAATTCGGGCAAAACTTCCGGGGTGATTTGACCTGAAACATCACAGTAATGCGACACGTTTAATTTACGTCATTCTTCTGCTCTCATCAATTATGCAAAACAATTACTGAAGGAAGACGAGCGCACTGTAAGTACACCAAATAAAAATGATATTTAATGGCTTTATTATACGTAAGTCGAGCTTTCGAGTCAACTATAAAAAAAATAAATTAAAGAACAGATAAAAAAATATCTAGCAACTATAACACAATGAAACGCGGACAGTAGTGAACGTTGAATTTGAAAAAAAGATTTACTGTGCACTTGCAATCAATTTGCGAGTTTCAACTCTCCGTATCGAACACAATAAACGACAAACAAAACAAACGCATTTTGCGTTGTGTTACGTTCCATCCTTTTCAATTTCGCCGGATATTACGACGAGGCGATCGCATCGCGCGCGTCGAAAAATGCGATGCACCGCGAACGTTCGAAAAAAAGAGAGAGAGAAGAACGCGAATGCGCGGCATCTCTGACGAGTGTCTCGCGGAATGCATCGCCACGATTCCAAGTGCATGCATGAGCGAGCAGCATGCCGCCGATTAGATATTCAAGGCGTAGGTCGAGGATGGGGGAGCAACCCTCCTCCCTCATCCCTCAGGTTCTCTTCTGCCGATCTAAAAGAGCAAAGAGAGAGCCGCCCATATTCTCGTATCGAATTCTTGTATGCGTTCATGCAAGAAGGGCGATAAATGGAAAAATTCTTGAATCTCGCAGTCGTAATCCGGACGCCGGATCCCCGGTTTTCATGGGTCGGTTTTACGACTACCCTCATCGGGCCGTTTCTACCCTCGCATCGTCGTACCTTCAATCTCTTCCCTCGCTTCTCCGTGCTTTCATTCCGCTCTCTTTCTCCCGCGTCCGACCCTATCCTCGGCCGTTTTATTAACTAAATTTAATTTTCGCTTTAAGGGAAGAAAAAACCTGCGAAAATCTCCCCGGGAGAAAAAAACATTGTAAACTTATTGAAAGTAATAATCGGACGAGGGAGAATAATTGGTATATCGCGCATTAGGTCAAAATATATATTTTCATATAAACCGCTACTTTTATTGCTATACTGCCATTTTCCAGTTATGCTGTTTCCAAGCTATTACATCCTTTTATTACTCTCGTTTATGATTTTTTTTAATTAAATTGCTTCTCTTTTTTTTCTTCCCCTATCTAATATAATGTTCCGATATATTAATCCTAAAGAATGCAATAATAAAAATTTTCATTTAATAGCAAAAAATAGCGCTCATACAATTGCATACCTATTTTTTTCTAGCAGTGCAATGTTCTCTTTCTCTCCCACTTGTTTTCTAATGAAGGAATCCTGATACTATGCTTAATTTTTCATAAAATCTTGTGAGTGGCGAAAAGTGTGCGCGCACTCACGCATGAGTGCAAAGCAGAGATTCAGAGAAAGAGAGAAAGAGAGAGAAAGGAAGAATACATAACGCGAGCATAGTATGCTCTGCTTTTATTACGCCGGAATTTCATTCCGAGTCTAATTGTAATCAGTGAAGTGTAATTCTAGCAATTTGTCGCAAGGATATCTAATTAATTAGGTCCTTTCGCGAGCGGCCAGGACTACAAACGCGCCCGCGCGGTCTGCTATCTCTTCGTTAATTACATCGTGCGCAGGATGGAATTTTTCATCGAAATTATCACGCACCATCCGTCCAGGAAATTAAGATCGCCGTGATGTGCTCGCGGCTGCGCTACGGCTGGAATCAATTTCGTTTCTATTTCTCTCTCTCTCTCTCTCTCTCCGTTTTTTACATCGTTTCGTTTACGCTAACGTAAGGCAGAATTGTGCCGCGAGGCATCTTCGCGTAAAAATATATAGTTTCGATTCTCGATATTGCGCTGGCAGACATGAAATTCTTTCCCGGCAGATGCATTTAGAAGTTCACCGAGCGAGTTGTCAATTTTTATGCAGGTATATACATTATTCGTCTACATTGATATACATTGAAATATATAAATATATTATATAACGTATAATTATTCTAAATTATCAAACCACATGTATCTATTCAATTATTTTCAAAAATTATATATATATAAAGTAAGTGGAGATAAAAAGAATTTCGTAAATCCGCGTCTCTGTGAGTCTGACGTCGTTACGTTAAAAGCCAATAAGACTGTCAGGCGTTTCTGTCGCGCAATAAGCGGCTCCCAACAAGTGCTAATAAAACAGTTATGCAGAATCTAAGGCGACTGCTTCTGCGAGCAATATTAAACGCGATTATAAAAGTCAGCCGGGCGTCGTTTTCCCCGTGTCTAATTTAAGGAAGCCTCGAAAGCCGTAGGACGGCCCCGGATAGACTCGGGTTGAGCAGTATCCGATGATACCCACTTTATCCCGGAAAAACGACGGTAAGCCACCCGCACAATGGCAGCCGCGGAGCCGTCCGCCGATTCAAAGAGTTTGGATTTCGCCTGCCCTTTCTCCCCAAGAGGAATCCTCTGTATCGTCGAAATCGCGAATTTAAAATGTGTTTCCCCGGCGCGGCGGTCTCTCGTTTTCGCGAGATAGCGGAATGTTCCTGGGCCAAAGTGACCATCGATTCTCGAAAGCGTCGTGGATATGACTGTTTCGTAATCGTTTTCAGCCCTAAAGATCGATATTCAAATCCCAAAATGCAGGCAAAATTCGCAGCCGTATATAACGTTACGTAAAGAAGATGATTCTTTTGGAAGTATCCTAGAGTGATTTTTTTTGCTAATCTGATAAAAATATATGAATATTGAAAAATCTGCAGAAGACGTTTAATGAGACAATGCTCTCACGCGGTTTGTTGAGAAGATGATCGTGATTATCAAGGATGAGAGAAGCACTCTCGGAGATTCCATTCCATCTGAAATTCAACGAACGAGAAATGGTTGGGAGTAGCAAGAAACGTGACACGCTCGAATGCGTATGCTAATAGGCAGACGTGCCTCGGGCAAAAGCGACTATTAGCGTGAGTTGCGACAATGAGCCGATGTCATCAAGGTAACATTTGCGCTTGCGATAGCAAAATTATTACGATACGCAACTCGCGCGCAAATGAATCAGGAACATTGAAAGCCCGGAGATTAACCAAGAACAATCCGCGAAATCATCCCTTAATTGCGATCATAACATTTTCAGTTTTGATTCCAATTTTTTGTTCGCGAAAGTTTAGAAATATCTCACAAAATTAAGTTCGCTTGAAACTGAACCTGGTAATTGAAGAATATTTTTTTTTTTTTTTTTTTACTATAATACACATTCGAGAGAATAATTATTATATACTCGTATTAAAACAATTCTCGTTCTTCCTAATTCAGTCTCTTCTCGAGTATGACTATGAATCAAGAATGATTCGTGGTGAAACTGAGATAATATAATCGAACAAAAGTTCTGTTTCAATTTAAAAAAGAAAAGAGACCCCGAAAGAGAGAGAGAAAGAGAGAAAACAATCGAGAACAGCCGACTGTTCGAGGCGAAGGAAGAAGACAGCGGAATTACTCCGTATTTCCGCGAGGATTAAATGTCCGACCTTTTTGTTTTTGTCAAAGTGTTCTGGATTTTCAGATCGCGACAGCCCAGCGAGCTAACTCGAAAAATTCCACGGATTCTTGCACGGCAGGAAACGCGTTCGTCCGTGCACACGCGTGTGTTTCACCGCCAGGAATTGCATAAGACAGGAGAGTACGCGAAGGGCGCGAAAGTTACGTCACGTGTCGCACGTCGACGACGGAATCTTTTCGACAAATACAGAACGCCGAAGGGATTACAGTTTCGTTAAAAAGTTCCGGTAACAAAGGATTTACGGCCATACGAGAAAAGAGGTGGCGTAAAAAAAACACCTCGTAGCGAGATGCTTGCAGGAGAGGAGGAAGGAGTTAAACGAAACACGGCAAAGCTCGTGTTTAAATGGAACGAGATGGCACGTGACCGTGTGTAAACTTGGGAACGTTGTGTCGCAGTGCGAAGTAATTTAAAATGGGAATTGTAAACTACTCTCTCATTCTCTCTCTCTCTCTCTCTCTCTCTCTCTCTCTCTCTCTCTCTTACATACTACAACATATTTTTATGTGTGTACCTTTCTATTGTATTGTATATCTCGTATTATACTTCATATTCGAACCGGCGCACGTATCTTTTCTCAAATCAGAAATTTTAAAAAAAAGGAGCAAAAAATTAATATCGACTCATTTATCAGAATTATTTAAATGGAGAAATTGATTTCGCATTAGTCGAACGAATTAGGTTTATATAGGAGAAACGAGAATAATTTAATACATATACTTTCTATACACACTCTGTGTATATATACACAAATATATTTAAACGCGAATGAGTGTGTGCGAAGCAAGAGGATTCTCTTCAATGAGAGGGAGATATAGAGCTCTCTCTCCCTCGCACCCTCGCTTTCTCTTCGGGATACTTATCAGATCGGAGCACGCGCCTATTGATTTTGGCTTAAACGGAGAATTCGCCAATAGATAGAAGTTAGAGAGAGAGAGAGTCGAGACGCAAACTACTCCCGGTAATGCCGCGAGTTTCCCTTGTGCCGCGAATCACTGCGGATACATCATCGTGCCGTGAAAAAGGGAGCGTGCGTAATTGCGCAATTAAGAGAGAGCCACGATTACCGAATATTTCACCCAAAATACGTCACAGATTTATATGGAGGGAAACGATAAAGCGGGCTCCCTCGAGGAGATCGAATATTTAATAGAAGTTCGAAGCACGTTGTAAAATGTCGCTGTAGAAAGAAAGAGAGATGAGAATAAAATGTTTCTGTGTGAAGAGAGTGTATATAGTGATACAAATCATTTGTAAGAGGGTCGATTTTCTAATTCATCCCTATAATTGCTGGTTTATCGAAGAAATTTCGTCTTAATCGAAATACTTTGAAATATTCCACGATGTTTTCCACTCCTCCGCTTTTTGCGCGCTCAAGAGGGGTTTCGTCCCCTGTCCTTTTTTTTATCCAAGCGTATACACGGCGATTCCGTTTGCCAGAATACG